GCTAATGAGAATGAAGAATTACATAATGAAACTTTTACACTGTAAATAATATTTCATTTTACCTGTTACGCTATTTGCATAATTTTAATCTCGGCAAGTGTGACGCCGAAATCGCGGTATAAATCACCGGCAATGATTTAAAAGGCACTGCATTTTTGGACAAGGAATAATGGGAATGATTTTCATTTGGGAGGCGAGGATGATGACTATCTGACGTGGAGGTGCCGAGAAATGTCATTAATTTTTACGCTGGCTCGCATATTATTGTACCGTTTCATGTGACGGCAGGCCAAAAGGGGAAATAAAGGGTGAGCAGGGAAAGTAAATCTAGCGTTTTAGACGATTTATGAGCTCAAAAAACACACAGATGCTATTTAGCTGCGCGACGAGAATTGTATAAAAATATAAAAAAATGCGGAACAGATGACAAGTTGAAGTAAATAAATACCTTTTTCGTGTATTTTATAGAAATGTAGTTCATTGTTAATTCAAAATCGTAAAGAAAAGTGGGACTTTGATCGTTAGCAACACATTTCTTCACTTCACTTCACTTCTTGGATACTTAGCGACCATTAAATAAAGAAACAATTAAACTTTTTACATTTTAATTATGAATATTAATAGAAAATGTACAATTATTTAAAGTATTAAATGTTATCAACTTCTTCTAGTTTTAGCAAACGTAATTCATTAAGTGATTTTTGCTTGTTCGTGTAAATTTAATCGACTCGCGAGCTGCGCTGGCTCGTGAATTGAAACTTTTACACTCACTGGAAAACAATCACTTTTCTTAACTTATAGAACAATCTACTATTTTTTGTATAGCGATTATGAAAGTCAAATTTTCATCACGTTTAATCGTATAGAAAGTTATACTTTTTTAAATGATTTTTATAGTTATATTTCTACAATTATTTCTATAGAGTTCGTTACAACGAGCATTACGATTTGATTTATCAAATTGATATCTTTTTGGTCTTTGGGGTTCTTGCAAAAAAATGTTGTGTACAACTCGTTTTGAAAGTCCTTTTTTTACTCATTTGCTTGAGTAACTCGGGCAGAGTCCTCTTTAATCAACTGCAAATTCGTGAAAAAAGTATGACTTTCAAAACTAGTTGTACAAATAACTATTAAACTGTTGTAAACGATATAATGAAGTGAAGGCTTATCAAGAACTTGATTGACGGCACTTTGATATTAAGGTGGAACAACACATGTATATTCCGGGCTATTAATTACGAGTACTATGTATGTAAACCAGCGTAGATTCCAGTCGTTAGGTTATTATTCTCGAGTGCGCCTTAAAAGCTTCACTTACTCGATGTTGCCTAGTAAATAAACTTTAATAAACTCGAAGAGCGCAGTAATTGATAATTAAGTAGTTGAAGAAGAGATACTCGAAGTTGTGTTCCAAGCTCTGGGAATCTCCAGTGTTCAATTATTCAGTGCGATAGTTTAAAGAGTTGACTGGAAGAATTGTTGCGCATTCCGTTGAGCGATCTAGATTTATTTTAGACAAAAAAGCACCGGATTGGTGTTCTGCAGTTTATTGGATTTTATAGGAAATTGTTTTTTCTGGTTGATGCAGTTGCGAATTGCCGAAGTTGTAATTCCGTCCTCTCGTAAATCGAACCCATCGCAAATTGCTGTGTTACACGTAAATCGTGTGCTCATTTACATACTTAAATCTTATCTGTCAATTGTGTATTGCTCGTAAAACAAGATTTCACCATTTGCGTCGGATAAAATTGTTTCGGATTACTGTCCACAGTCACTCGAATAAAATAAAGGGGCAAATTTGATGCGACACTCGTTTCGAGGGCTGTTCGGATTGTGTATAAACACAGAAAGAGCGGACCGCACGACAATCCTAAATTACAAATATTTCAATTACTGAAGTGTAACAATCCGCAACACCATGCAGTCACAGTTATCCAGTAGATGCATATTACTAAATGCGCTGCACAATGTAGAATTGTCTAGTTTTTTTTTAATTAGTAAATGTACTTGTGGGAAGCTTAGAATATCAAAGCTATAGTAATTGGCTTACATTTTTTATGTACTATACGAATTATTTTTCCTACGACCCTAACAGAAAGTAAGTTTTTCCACCCTAATTTCAGAAAAGAAAGTGGTCAATTACCTCCTTAGAGGTAAAGATTTTGTATTTTCCTCCCTTGTAGAAATAGTTATTTTTAATAAAAATATTCTACAATAACCGAAAATTTTTGGAAGAGTAAAATCAAATCTTATAAAATCTATAACAAATGCTAAGACAAATAAAAAGAAATATAAAAAAAACTTGAATTTTTTTTTTGTTTTGTCATGAAACTCTACGCAATTGCAAAATAAGTAATTAGAAAGTGTTTTTTTTTAAATAATTATCTAACAAAATGGTAATTAAAATAAATGCTAATGCAAGCATATTCTGACAGAATTGATGATAATCTCTTTAAAATCTTTTAAAAACAAATTATAGATACTACCGTAAATACCGTAACCAGATCAAAAATACTTATACTTATATTTTTCTCCTCTCATGTGACGTATA